CCACCAGAAAACCCGGGGGGCGGGCTGCCAGGTGCGGCTGCAGATGCCTGGGTGGCCACAGGTGGGGCCTTGCCCGTCCCTGTCCATCCCCTCCAGCTTGACTCTGGGCCCAAGGTGGGGCGTCAGCAGGCCGGCCATGTGCTCCTGGCCCCTCTCGGCCTGTGAGCAGCAGCAGCAGCAGCAGCAGCAGCAGCCTGAGGAGCTCAAGCCTTCAGGGCAGGTGGGCAGCAGGAGAGCCAGCCTGCCCGCCATCATGCTGTGCAGCCTGTCGGCCAGCGTCCCTGCTCCCGGCCCCACGGCCCCTCTGCCCGGGTCCTCCCAGGCCCTGGCACCGGATCCCAGCTCCTCCTCCACCGCGCAACCCCCTGCTGGCTCCAGGACCCCTGGCCTGACCCGTGACACCGCCAGGGGATGGAGGGGAGTGGTCCGGAGGATGGCCACCTGTCTGGCGAGGCTGTGCTGCTGCGTGCAGGCCCCCAGGACCGGCTCCGGACGCTCCAACAGAGTGGCTCCCGCAGCTGGAGGGCCCGCGCCACCAGCACCAGCACCCAGGGACCCCCCGGGACCTGCCCCCACCAGAGGTCAGGCCCTCAGAAGATTCTTCAAAAACAGAGTGGCTCCCCGGCCAGCGCCCAGCTGAGATGCCCACGGAGCCAAGTAGGTGGAGCGGTGCTGCCTTGGGTCTCACGTGTGCCTTGAGGAGTGTCATTTCCAAAGGATGAATGGACACCCTCTGCCCTTGGGGGGTGCCACCAGGGTTAGGTCCACCTGGGCGCCACAGGGTGGGCGACTCTGACTCCTAGCCCCTCTCATTGTCCACAGACAGGTGGCCCGGGTTCTACCTCACGAGGGCCAGCTGCTGGAGCGAGAAGTGCAACCTGCCCTGGCCGCCGCCTCCCGGACCCCTCAGGCAGGAGGACACCCGAAGACACCCGGACACCAGTGGGCCCCTGCGCCCCACCCGGATCCCACCTCAGGGACTTCTCCTTGGACACGTGCCCCGCCCTGCTCTCCTCTGCTCTCTCTCCCACCCTCTGGGGCAGAGATGCTTCCCAATAAGCTCCTCATCCATTCGCATGTCCCACGGATCTTGGAATAAATTGGGTGCTCCGTGGGGATCAGCTGTTGTGTTCCTTGGCCGCCTCCTGGCAACAGTGGGAGAGTGGGTGGTGGTGTCACAGTGGGGAAGGTGTAAGGGAGCAGTGACAGGGAGCCCTCCGGAGGTCCCCAAGGGCAACACGTGACCCAGAGTGGTCCCAGGGGAGGAGGCTGGGTGGGGGGCAGAAAGGCAGACCTTGTGCCTGACCTGACACTGATGGTGCCCGGTCACCACTTTCAGAAGGGAACCCTGGACAGAGGAGCCATAAGCCCAAGCCCATCCTGGGGGCACACCCAGAGTGGCACGAGGAGGCACCGTGTCGCAGGCCCCGGGGGCAGTCAGGGTAGAGCTGTGGGTGCCTCCCCCAGAGTGGCTTGGGGGCTGCCGCTTGGTCCCTCCTCTGAATGTCCCTGCCAGGGCCTGGCTCTTGCCCTGGTGAAGCTTTAACCTCTCTAGGCCTTCGGCTGCACGGGACCATCCCTGTGAGCGTCCTGACCCAGGGACGGGCCCTTCAGCCTGCCACCCTGAGCTCCCCAGGGCTGCTGAGCAGGGAGCAGGACCACCTATGGGTGGGGGAGCTGGGGCGCAGGTGTGGGCAGGGGACGGTGTGTGGTGTGTGAAATGACACATGTTCCTCTGCAATTACTGTATGTTTCTGACAAATTTGATGAGTATAGATTGTGAATCTGCATAATTGAACCCTCAAAAATCTATTATTTTGCCAGGTGTGGTGGTGCATTCTTTTGATCCCAGTAACTCAGGAGGCTGAGGCAAGAGAATCAAAAGTTCAAAGCCAGCCTCGGCAACTTAGCAAGGCCCTCAGCAACTTAATGAGACTCTCTCAAAATAAAAAATAGAAAGGGCTGGGGATGTGGCTCAGTGATTAAGTACTCCTAGCTTTAATCTCCAGTACCAAAAAAAATGGGAAAAAAAACTATTATATTTACTGTATTTATAGAATTCATTTCCTTGTTAAGACCCCTCAAATAGGAAGTTATTGTATATTCAAAACTAATTTTACAGTATTAAATGCATAGTTTCAGAGATTTTATATATCCTCTATTTCACTACTGTGTATCCACGCAAGTTAATGTTGAGATATCTCGCTCAGGGTACCATGATCTGTAGCACTATGTAGAAAACAATGTACAACTTTCTAGTAGACAGATTAGCCACATTGTTTCATAAAAATGCTAACATCAAGGTTGTTTGGTGACTGAAAGGTAAAACTACAATCAACCTCAGTATAAGTGATTTTTCTTAAATAAGGAATTTTGTAAACACTTAAGAAATCACAGACCCTCCCTAATATTTATTCTGGGCTTCTGTTACTCATAGCAACAAAATTGATCCTGCTATGAAATGGTAAGTAAGCAGTCTGTTGTATATTGAAGAACCGCTCAACTCCAACCTACAAATACAGGCCCGGGCAGTTAAATATAGTCACCATTTGAACTTTCACATTTCCTAGCTTTTAAAGGCAAGAAGAGAGCCACAAGACGCATTTTCACAATGCTGTTCTTAACCTGATTGCATTGGGTCCATAAACACGTGAAGCTGTGTGGACAAAGGGCACAGCTGTCCTCCTGTCCTTAGCTGGCAGGGTTCCACCTCACTCTCTGAGAAGGAACTAAAATGTCTTAAAATCCCTGCAGGAGGCCCACTGGGATAAAATGCAGAGCCCCAGGGACATGTTGGGCACAGCTGACTGGAAAGGGCCCAGGATCGAGAGCGGGACGGATGACACCTTGGGCACGGCAACCCCAGCTTCTCCAGACCATGAGACCCGCCTGCATCCCACCAGGCACCATCAGAAAGCACCTCTCAGCCTGAGGACTGCCAGCCCACCCAGACCCAGGTGAACGGGACAGAACCCAAACTGCCGCTGAGAAGGCAAGGTGGCCAGCCACCAGGCTGACAGAAGACTAGACATGCACTCGTGACCTTGGCAGGAACAGGTCCCCTGACGGGACCCCAAATGCACCTCAGAGTCAGCAACAGTCCTGGATCCTGCCCTTCCTTACAGGAGACTCACAAATCCTGAATTTTCAATTAAGCAACCGCTGTGGCTTTGTCCCTGCACAGAGTTTGTGATAAAACTTGTCAGCATTGCCAAACTGACGCTCACTGCATCAGCTTGGCAGAAGCCACCGCCTCAAGAAGAGTCAGCAACCCAGGGAGAGAGGCATATGGGGACTACAGAAACACCAAGGCCTCTGACAGCTCTTAGCCAAGGAAGAAACCAGAAAGCCCTGCGCTTCTAGGGGCAGGGTCAGCTCTTCAGGAAGTTCAGTTTCTATTTACCAAGAAAAAGGTCGGAAGTCTCAGAATTCTAACCTGTCACAAATTCTGTAAGAATAAGACAACAAATTGGCAAATTATATCGTTATACACAATCATGTAACAACAAACCCCACTGCTGTATGCAAAACTTAATGCACCAACTAAAAAAAGCGAAAAAGAAAAAAACAGAACGAAACAACAGTTCAGTTTTCAGGCCTACTGTAAGTCTGTCTCGTCTCAGAAGTAACTCATTTTAAAGATGCACTAAGAGAGAGCAGCTTGTTTGTATCACTTTTGACAACTTGGGGGCTTTTCATGACTATAGATGTACCAGGATTCCTGCTGTGTGGAGATGAACAGTGCCTCCAATGACATCTTACAGGGCCACTAAGATCACAGGTCACCGGGTCTTCTAACCTCTACCCCTTTGTTAGGGTTTGGATCTTTGATGTCCCCACAAAAACTCATGATTTGAAAGCACAGTACCCAACACAACAATGTTCAAAGGTGGCACAATTAGATTGTGGGGGCTGTAATCTCAGTGGATCAATCCATTTGATGGATTAATCCATTTGATGGATTAATAATTTGGACAACGGGTGGCAACTGTAAGCAAGTGGGGTGTGGCCTTGGACTATATCTGTCCCTGACCCCCGCCTCTCCCTCTCCCTCTCCCTCTCCTTCCCCACCCGCCCCCACCCCATGCTCCCTGGCTATGGTGAACTGAGGATCTGGCCTCCACCATGCTTCACTCGGGTCCAGAGCACTGGAGCTGGACAACCATGGACTGAGACCCTGAAACTGTGTCCAAAATAAACGTTTCCTCCTTGAAGTTGCTCTTGCCTGGTATTTTGGTCACAGCGATGGAAAGCTGACTAACACAATCTGTAAGACCACAGAGTAGTAACGAATCTCAAGGCCATCCCTGTGCTGATTAGACAGACACAGAGAAGGCTGGAGCTCTAAGACCCCGCGACTAGCGCGTCCATGGTTGGTTACCACAGAAGCAGACGCCTCATTGCCTTTCTGTCCTCTTACCCTCGACTGTCTGAAAGCAGCCACACCACACTGCTGCAGATGCCATGGCCATCCGTCACATCCTGAGGCCAGGCAGGCGAGAGATGTAAACCCCAGTCCCTGACTCTACTGCACCATCAATGTCACCCAAAATTATCCCTGGTTCACTGTTCTGGAAACATTTAGAATGCTAGTTTGGTAGATTACCAAGCTGACAACAGTTTGGTAGGAAAAAAGCCCCAGAGTGGCAGAAGTGAAAGTTCCAAGGAGCCAGTATTTTAGAGCTGTATTTGGACCTCTCCCAAGACGAACTAGCAGTGACCCCAAGTCTAACATCAGCACAGGCCTCCCCGGCAGCCCCAAGCCTAACCCAATCTTAATTCCCACGTGCTGTGTTTCTGGGTTACTTCACTCACTTAGAACTTCAGGCTTTCCATCTGTGAAATAAAGAGGACACGAGTCCTCTATTTAATAGGGTAAGTGTGAAGATGAAATGATAGAATGCATGTAGGACTCCTAACAGATTTAGTAAATGCCAAGGCCAGTGGATGAGCAGCCGCATGCGCCCCAGGCGCCACCTGCAAAGCCAGGCATTACTCACAGAAGCCAGGAGCCTCCCGTCCTCCTTCATGGCCAGGTATCGGTTTGCACACAATCCCTTGATGGACACAACCCCTCGGTCTTCGGCTTGAAGCTGGAGCTTGACTGTAAATAAAGGGGAAATTACTCTTGTGGCACCAGAGAGAGAAGAGCCATAGCACAACACAAACAGGACCATGGTGCCTGCCACCCACCAGCCCCCTGAAGGGCAGCGCCACTGGATCAGGGTGGGTGGGGGCCACTGTGCTAGAGCAGGAGCTTCAGAGCCCCGCACATTGCTCACAGCTCCCTGCCCACTTGGTACCACCAGTGAGCAGAGGGGGACAGATTGGGACTTGTTCTTTTACTACAGATCAGTTCCATCTGGCCTGTTAGCCCCTTCACATTTTGTAAGTGAACATATTTTCAGAGTGCATGGAAATGTCGGTGTACCATTTGTGCCAACGTCTGTGCTGCTGCCTTCGCTGATACCCTGTAAGAGTCATTTCTAAGCAATTCTTCACAAGTAGAGACTGTCCAGCTGCTCCCTGCAGGCTTCAGGCGCACCTCCTTGACATCTGTACATCTCATCTCCAGCCTCCCCTCAAAAAAATACTAGTGCATTTATCTTTCCTTATGGAAGGAGTGGATAAATACCTTTTTAAAGTAGAAAAATACGTGAATACTTCATTGGATTATGCAGTGTGATGAAAGATTTCCAGAGTAAAAGCCCCTAAGGAGGATGACCTGTTACACTATATTATTAATATTAAGAGGGTTGTGTGGAAAACCCAAATGTTATTTGATTACAATGATAATGCAAAATGAACCAATAATTATCTAATTGAAATTTAAACAATGTTAAACATTTCTAGTTTGATATTCAAAGGCAGCATTTGCCTGCCTATAACAAAATTCCCCAGAATGTATTATGGCTAATAGATTTTACACAAAAAACATATTTTCAGGTCAAATACATTTAGGAAATTCCTGGTGAAGCCAGTTAAGTCTTTATTGCCAAACTTTCCAGAATTCTGCTTACCATAACCTGCTTTGTAAATCATCATGAGGATCAAGTATAGAATGTTTATCAAATTTATTTATTAAAAAAAAACAAGTTTTATCTTAAGTCGTCCTATGACCTATGAAGGAATTATTGAGCAATAAAAAACTCAAAATTTTAGAAATCAATAAAATATTATCTGGATAACATTAGGAATGTGAAGTTAACTTTTCTTAGTGTTTGTAAGTAGCTAGAGGAACTGACCAGGACATCGCAACTTTTGAAAGATGCTGAAATAATTATTAAATGTATTAGATGTATCACAATAATCATGTTAAATTATTTTCCTATAGAAAACAATATAGGACCTGGGCTGTGGCTCAGTGGTAGAGCCCTTGCCTAGCATGTGATAGGCCCTGGGTTTGATCCTCAGCACCACATAAATAAATAAAGGCATTGTGTCCATCTACGAAAGAAAGAAAGGAAAGAAGAAAGGGATAGCCATATACAGATAAAATGAGACAAGATACCTGCAATTAGCTTTTCTCTGGTGATAAAAAATATTTTTTTAGTAAAGCGGGTAGGGCCAAGCATGGTGGCACACACCTGTAATCCAAGCAACTTGGGAGACTGAGGCAGGAGGATCAAAAGTTCAAAGCCAGCCTCAGCAACTTAGCAAGGCCCTAAGCAACTTAGTGAGACCCTGTCTCAAAACAAAAAATAAAAAGGGCTGGGGATGTGGCTCATGGTTAAGCACCTCTGGGTTCAATACCTATTACCCAAAAAATAAAAAAATAAAGTGAATAGGAAAAATAAGACTGGATTGTTTCAATAGGTATTGGAAGCATGGATTCATTATTCTATATATTTTTATGAATGTTTGAGAAATTACAACAAAAAAGAAATCAAGCCCTGTGATTCCGTTGGTGACTCAATGTCTGCTTCTCCTCTGCTCAGTCCTCCTGGACTCCAGAGAGCACAGCATCTTACTCAGGCAAAATTCTTCCACCAAATCTTTATTCCCCCCTAGGCTGGCCTCCAACTTGCATTCTCCTGCCTCAGCTTCTGAGTCCCTGGGATTACAGACAGGCATCGAGCACACCCAGCATTGTTCTGCTGAATCTTAAAAGATGGTACAAAGCCAGGCACAGTGGTGCACACCTGTAATCCCGAAACACAGGAGGCTGAGGCAGGAGGATACAAGTTGGAGGCCAGGCTGGGCAATTTGGCCGGACCCTATCTCAAGGTCGGGATGTGGCTCCAGGGAAGAGCACCTCTAGGTTAATCACCAGTCACAAAAATAAAGGAAAGAAGAGGGAAGGGAGGGAGGACGAAGGAAGGAAGGAGGAGGGGAGGGAGAGGAGGGAGGGTGGGAGGGAGAGAAGGAAGGAAGGAAGGAGGAGGGGAGGGAGGAAGGGTGGGAGGGAGGGGAGGGAGGAAGGGGAACGGAGGCAGGGAGAGAAGAAAGGAAGGGAGGGAGGGAGGGAGGGAAGGAAAGGGACAGAAGGAAAGAAGAGGGAGGGAAGGAAGGAGAAAGAACACAAAGTAAAAAGAATGTAAAAGCTAAATCATCTGAAGGACTCTGAGGAAGGGTTGCACCCAGGTCCACAGGACCGGGGCCTGCTGGATTGACCCCAGGAACTCCGAGCGCACTGGCTCATATCCTGAACTCCTCCACTGCACAGTGCTCGCTGCGCAGGCTGCACACCTGACCACTGTGCTTTCTCTCTGTCCCTTGTGGGTGAACTGCCTGTGCTCCAGCCTGCCACGCCTACTTGTGAGCCACTGTGGGTCCCATGCATGACTAGGGCATTCGTGTGCCCACATCGGCCCTGGCCCCACGGCCCTCTGCGGGCTTCTCGGGCACTTCTCACTAGGAGCCTGGCCGTCACAAAGCAACACACTAACCACAGATGTCTGAAAGCGTTTTCTTTGGCATGATTTGGGGATGGGGAGGTAGGGATCAAACCCAGAGACGCTTACCACTGAGTCACATCTCCAGCCAGCCCTTTTTATTTCTTTATTTTTTTTATTTTGAGAAAGGGTCTCACTAAGTTGCTGAGGCGGGTGTTGAACTTGCAGTCCTCCTGCCTCAGCCTCCAGAGTTGCTGGGTTACAGGTGTGCACCATCACATCCAGCTGACATATAATCTTTAAAATATAAGATTTAAAGATAACCAGAGTCTCTAACAAGAAGTTGAATAAGTCACAAAACCATAGATTTTCTTTTAAAACATACTAAATTCCACATACAAATGACATCTTTCCATAAAACAGGTGCACAGCCACCTTCATCTCGGACAGGAGGGGAGCAGGAGAGACCAGCAGGACTTCAACAAACTGAGCAGCTGCTGAGGGGAGGGGTCCTAACCTGAGGAGCCCTGATCCAAGGGCAGATCCGTGCTCACCAGTCAGTCCTGGGCATGGAGCTGGCCCCAGGTGCAGGTGCCACACAGCAAAGGTGGCCCAGAACACGAGGTCCTGCAGGACCCCAGCTTGGCTGATGAAAGCAGCACGGAACAGGACAAGAGCAGAAAGACCCCCGAGAACCTGGGTCTTCACCAAGCACAAAGTCACAGAGCAGCAGGACAGAGACTTTCCAAGAGGCGGATGGAGTTCAGCAAGGTCGACTCCCCATCGGCCCCACCCGCTGGCAGCTGGGCTACTGGCAAACTAGGGTGCTTGGGAACTCCTGACCAGCCCAGAAAGGCAGGAGGGGAGGAACAGAAAGACAAACAGCAGGCGGGATCACTAAAAAACAGCCCCAAGACAGCGGATTTGAGCCCAGCCATGTGATTACACTGAGTATGACACTCCACATACCACTGACAAGCAAGAACTATCAGTAAGATTTTTTAAAAACTCAACTATATCGTTTATAAGAAAAGCACTTCACATTCAAAGATACAGGAAAGCTGCATGTACCCACGTGAGGCAGAGATATGAAGTGTACCCCTGAGTACCAGAGAGCGAAGAGGGCCGTGTTGATATCTGACCTCCGGGATAAACAGGGCGGCTCTGTGACAAGAGGTTCAGACGCACTAGGAGGAGCAGTCACCTTGAATGCACAGCACCTAGTACAGAACTCCAAACCACCTGCAGCAAAAACTGACCAAAGAGAAGAAATAAACCAGGAATAGAGAGAGGAAAAGCATGGTCCATCAACTGGACCCAGTGGCCTTTCTTTTGCATGCCTAAGACTTCACCTAAGACACCGTTCTCCTGTTAACGTCATACTGCTTTGCAAACTGGTAAACAGTGAACCCTTCCAACATGGAAAGCCACTCCATGCCCACCTGCCCCCTGGGCTTGACCGGTTCAAGTCCGTTGACTCCATCTGAGAAGGTCTTCCCCTCAAGTCAACAGTTGCTAAATAATGCTGAGGACCCTTGCCCTCAGCTGTCGGTCTTCCTGGTTTAATCTGTAACATCCTACCTGAGATATGGTGTGCACACCACACTACTTGCCCTCTGAAGCATGCATACGAGTCTATGGCTTTGAGTACATTCACAGAGCTGTGCAACCATCAATCACAAAACATTTTCATCACCCACACCCTTTAGCAGTGACCCTCCATGTCCCCAACACCACCACTGCCAACCTTAGGTAACCACTAATCTACTTCCTGTCTTTGCAGATTTGCCTGTTCTGGGTATCCCATATAAGTGGAATTTTCAAAGCACAGTCTTGTGACTGGCTTCTTTTACACAAAAGGCTTTCAAGGGTCCTGTGTGCTGTCCCACACACCTGTACTTCATTCCTTTATATTGCCAACTAACAGCCCATTGCATAGACAAACCACATTGGGTTTCTCCATTCATCAGCTTATGGATATATGGACTTTGGGTCCACTTTTTGGTTACATAATGCTGCCGTGAACATTTGTGTAAGAGATTCTGGGTAGAATGTTGTCACTTCTTCGGGTACATATGGAGGAGGAGAATCACGAGGATGTATGATGACTCATGTTGAATCCTTTGAAGAACCCAGTTTTCTAAGGCAATGGCACCACTGACATGCCCATCAGCAGCAAGGGGAGACAGCTGCTCCACCTGCTGGCCAGCACCTGTGACAATCGGCTTTTGTCTTTTAAGGAACCATCCGGGTTGGGTACAACTGTGTCCTTGCGGTTTTGGTCTGCATTTCCCTCTGGTCTCACGAGCTCCCGGGCCAAGGCCAGGTCTTCTTTGGGGAAATGTCTGCTCGGACCCTTGGCCCCTTTCTCCGTTGGGTCCTCTCTGTACTCCTGAGCAGGCTCGGATGGCAGCACTCTTCCCTAAGCGCTGTCCTTCACTCTCGATGTCGTCCTCTGAAGCACACTCTGTCAGCATGAATTCCAGTTTGTGGACTTTGTTCTTTTGTTGCTAGTGCCTTGGTGTCACAGCTAAAAAAAAAAAACGTGCCCACTCCAAGCTCATGAAGAGCTGCATTGACCCCTGCTCCGGCAGGTGAGTCTGACCTCACCTAGGTGTGTTCTAATTCATTTTTAGTTAACTTTCATAGGTGACCTGATGGTACAGCTTCGCTCTCTTGTCTGTGGAGATGCCTGAACCAACATTTAAAGGTCTCTATACCCAATACCTGCAGAGCATGGATGATGGCCTATGCCTAGAGTGATTTATATGCAAGGCCACAAAATAATTATACAGAGTATTAAATTAGAAATTAATAAAACATCTAGAAAATCCCCCAAATACTTGGAAATTAAGTAATACATTTTTCAATAAAACAAATATATCCCAAGGAAAATTAGAAAATAGTTCTAACTGTTGATGATAAAAATTCAGATGCTTAAAGTGAAAGTCATAGTTTATGTATTTACATTAGAAAGCAAAAAATTATGGAAACCTGAGTTTCTACTTTAAGAACCAAGTAAAAAGGAGAAACTATCCTCATAGCACAGGAGATACTTAGTGTGTAAACACTGTCACTCAATAAACATAGGTCAGGAGAAATGAGCCCTGAGGCTTGACAGTTATCTGGGGATGATAAAATCAAAATGCAGTTTTCATACTTTTTATATTCCAGTTTTTCTTGGTTAGGCACATATTATTTTTATTATAAGAACACAACAATAATAGCACTGTTAGGACTTTAAAGCAACCTCAAATAAAATCTAAGGACTTACCATTTTAAACATGACTGAAAATAAATACATTTATGAATTCAAGGAAGGAGAAGGAATTTCCCAAAAGGAACTTAAGAGACATATCCACCCAAAGCAATGTGTGAACCTTGCTTGAATCCTGGTTAGAGCAAACCAACTAGTAATAAAAAAATAATAAAAAAAAAAGCACAAGCTCGTCAGGGAAATTTAACACTAATTCAATTGCTTCTAAGGGAATTTCTAAGTTTCCTTGCATAGACTAAAACCGGTTGTCTTTGAAGCCCTCCTCTTCAGGATGCGATGTCAGTCCTCATACCCAACAGGTGTTGGTGCACACACAGCTTCTCGGGGAAGGGCCTAAGCAGCCGCTTTCCCACTCATCTGAGGAAGCAGCTGCTCCCGCTGCCCCCACAACTCCATGGGCTCGAGGCAAGAGCCGGCACAGGCACAGGGGGGGAGGGGCCTGGGGCTGCTAAAGTGCTGACGGGCCCCTGGCGCTCCTTACATGAGCTCGATTTTATACACAGCTGAAAAAGATATTTTGTTGACCAAGGGCAGTTCGTTGGTTAACTGAACTTGGTTTGGCAGCCGTGTGTTGAAGGTTCTAAAAGCTGAGCTAACCGTCCAGATAAGAGCCCCGAGAGGCTTTGCTGATTCTGTAAGTGTGAGCCAGGACTTGAGGACACAGGACAGTCCAGTCCAGTGAAATTAAACTTGGCAACCTTCAAGTTAGCTTCTTCACTGTCACTGTCCCATGCTGGGCTGGCTTCACAAGGAAGAAAGATTCAGTCAAGTCTTCACACTTGAGACTCAGAAGACCCCGGATGAGCAAAGCTATCAGGCCCTCTGACGGGGACAAGCTGACGGTCGACGTGCTGGTCACTTGCTGCCCCAGCAGGGTCTGGACACATGGACGTTGATAAACACAGACTTCTGGTGGCTTTCTAATGTTGACATTAAATCCAGTAAGAGCTGACCATGGAAAAATAAGGTGTGATTCAAGTTTGAATCTCAGTTTCTTCTTCTTGTCATCATTTAACGTAAAAGTTGTAAACCAAAAAACTCAAGAATCTCATCATCAGGCAACATCTTAGTGGTCACTTGGTTCTACCATTATACAGTTGTAACTTAAATGATTCCTACAATATCCATGACAAACACCTGTCCAGCTTTTCCTTGAAAATCTCTGGCAAAAGGGAAG